TTGTCGAGTGTGCATCCAGTATTTCATGTTTCCATGCTCCGAAAGTATATTGGAGATCCGTCCTATGTTTGGATTTCAGCACTGTTCAGTTTGAAGGTGATATGACTTCTGATGTGGAGCCGATGGCTATTTTGGATCGGCAGGTTCGAAGGTTGAGGTCAAAGGATATAGCTTCAGTGAAGGTGCAGTAGAGAGGTCAGCCTGTGGAGGAGGCCACCTAGGAGACTGAGCGGGAGGTGCGGAGCAGATATCCACGCCTATTCGAGACTCCAGGTATGTTTCTAGACCCGTTCGAGGACGAACGGATATTTAAGAGGGGGAGGATGTAACGACCCGTCCGGTTGTTTCGTGAGTTATAGCCCTGTTTTCCCCATTTCTACTTCTTTTTGTATTATTCAGCTATATTATGTTATACCGGATTAGTTGGTACGGGTCCGGAGTGGTTTCGGAGTGGAATGAGACAGTTAGTCTCTTATTTTGAACCTTAAGTTGGAAAAGTCAACTGGATGTTGACTTATGTGTAAACAATCTCGGAATTTAATTCTGACGGTTCCGTTAGCTCCGTAAGGTGATTTTGGACTTAGGAGTGTGTCCGAAATAAAATTTGGAGGTTCGTGGTAGAATTAGGCTTGAAATGGCGAAATTAAAAATTTGGCGATTTCGGTTAGCAGTGGAAAATTTGATATCGGGGTCGAAATGGAATTCTGGAAGTTGAAGTAGGTTCATAGTGTCATTTGTTACATGTGTGCAAAGTTTGAGGTCATTCGGACGTGGTTTGGTTAGTTTCGGCATCAGTTGCCGAATTTGAAAATTTAAAAGTTCTTAGGCTTGAATCCGAGGGTAATTTGGTGTTTGGATGTTGTTTTGAGTGATTCGAAGGTTCGACTAAGTTTGTATGTTGATATATGACTTGTTGGTATTTTTGGTTGAGGTCCCGAGGTCCTCGGGGTGATTCCGGGTAGTTAACGGATTTGTCGAAGTTGGAAAATACAGCTGAAGCTGCTGCTTCTGCTATTTCCGCACCTGCGGAAGGAAGAGTCGTAGGTGCGAGGCCGCTGGTGCGCATGGGAAGTCCACAGGAGCGGGCAATGCTGGGCTAGGCAGGATGCGTAGGTGCGAGTTGGAGGTCGCATCTGCGAGCCCGCAGGTACGAAACCTCGGGCGCAGAAGTGGAGGAAACGCGCAGGTGCGCCTTCGCAGGCGCGGGGTTTTGGGCCGCAGATGCGGAAGCTGGGCTCCTAAGTGAGTTCCGCACCTGCGATGGATTTTCCGCAGGTGCGGTGGCGCAGAAGCATGAAATTTTTCGCAGGTGCGAAAAAACTGGGCAGAAACCATAAATAGAACCCTTCGCGAATTTGATTCATTTCCGCCATTTTCAAGTCGGATTTTGGAGTTTTTGGAGTAATATTTGAAGGGTGATTCAAGGGCTATCAGTGAGGTAAGTTGCTTGAGCCCTAATACTCGTATATTTGGTAATTTTTCGTTGTTTAATCATGTAATTAGTGAAAATGAGGGGTTAGGGCTTGGGATTTTCGGAGAAGTAATTTAAGAATTTGAAGGACCAAACGATGTCGGATTTTGATGAATTCAGTATGGTTAGACTCGTGAGTGAATGGGCTTTCTAGTTTTGTAAATTTTGTCAGATTTCGAGATGTGGGCCCGGGGGCCAGGTTTGAGCCAAATTTCGGGTTTTGGTCTAATTTTGTAGCTTTTCTTGTGGGATTCATTCCATTAGCGCGTATTGATAGTATTGTACTGATTTTTAATTGATTCGGAGCATTTGGAGGCCGAGTCCAGAGGCAAGAGCATTGCGGGGTAGAGATTTGACCGGTTTGAGGTAAGTAACGATTGTAAATCTAGTCCTGAGGGTATGAAACCCCAGATTTTTGTATCATTCTACTATTTTGAGGTGACGCGCATGCTAGGTGATAGGCGTGTGGGCGTGCACTGTTAGGGATTGTGACTTGGTCCGTCCCGTAGCAACTGTAATGTTGCATATTTTTTGGAAATTATATGATACTTGTATGTTTTGGAAAGAGTTTCTGTAAATTGGGCTTAATATCATGTTTGGGCCTTGTGCCAGTACTGTTTGGACCCTTAGGGACCTTTTCTTACTATCCTCTCACTGTTTTCAATTGAAAATTTATACTCAGTCATGGTTATACTTGTTTAGTGCATAACTCAGTTTTATGACTCCATTTTGATGCATATAAATGTTGTTTTGGGCCGAATGCCCTGTTTTTAATGAAATGCCCGAGTGGCTTGAGAGGTTTATAACTGAGTGAGGCCGAGGTCCTGATTTGTGAGGATAAATATGGGATCGGGCTGCACGCCGCAGCATGTTCGGATAATTATGGGATCGGGCTACACGCCGCAGCATGTTTGATATATGCCGAGGGCCTGAGTGATTTATGCCATGATTTGGCTTGATATAGCACTTGGGTTGAAGGAGCCCCTCCGGAGTCTGTACACACCCCCAGTGAGCGCAGGTACCTACTGAGTGCGAGTGCCGATTGCCGAGTGACTGGGAGGCATGAGTGATTGTAAGGTATGCCCGAGTGGCAAGAGTGATTGTAAGGTATGCTCGAGTGGCAAGAGTGATTGTGAGGTTTGCCCGAGGGATTGTATATGAGTGATGCTTTGCCAGGGGGCTGTTTATGATTTCTTTATTTTTTTTTCACCTTTGCATTTCTTCTCTGCTTGAAAACTATTGAAAAATATCCTTAAATGATTTTTACTGGAACTGGGTTTAAACGAGATATTTTGATTCAAATCCTGATTTTAAAAGCATGAGGTATTTTAGTGAGATTTTATGATATGAACGTTATATGCTTTATTGCTCGTCACTACTGCTCAGTCTTTATTTATTGTTGTTACTTACTGAGTTGGCGTACACGTTACTCTTTGCACCTTGTGTGCAGATCCAGGTATAGCTGAACACGGTAGCAGTTGTTGATTGTTCTGGTTGTAGATTTTCCCGGAGATAGCAAGGTAGCTGTTGGCGATCGCAGCCCCCTGCTCTTCTCCCTCTTATCTTCCCCTAGTTGTATTTAGCTATTTTCCAGGCTGAGTTAGCCTTGATATTATTAGACATATTGTAGTAGATGCTCATGACTAGTGACACTCCGATGTCGGACTTTTTCTTCCGTACTTTTATTTTGATTTGAACTTCTTTACGAAGGTTTTTATGTTAAATAACATTGAAATTATCTTTGAAATGAAAATATCGGTTTGTTTTGGAAATGAGTCGGCTTGCCTAGTTCCACGATATGCGCCATAACGACATGGGTTAGTTTGAGTCGTGATACACGGTGGACACCAAACTGTTTACCCGTAAAATGGTACAGTTAAATTTATAAGTTGTTACTAGACAAGTGAATTAATTTAATCCTGAAATAATAGATGAATTTGATAAAAATATAATAATTAGCCTTGAGATGGAGATAAAATAGCAGAAATAGTAGTTCCGGGAGCTGGGCTTCCGGGCACAACAACAATAAAATCAAAAGACAAGAAGATAAAATCATATTAAGCTTTGAATAGAGTGTAACGTATGTTTGCAAGAAAATTCGTCTCATTTACAATGATAATAGAGCTTACTATTTATAGCTGCACCTAGGGAACAAGGTCCTAGGATCAAGCCCCTCTTTAATGTCAATTATGAGGGCCATTGAAGAATGTGTAACGGCGGACAATGAATGACATATTTCTTGTAACGGTAGTGTACTTAATGATGTAGAATATTCTTCATTAAATGCTACTGGATGACAGACATTTATTTCATCTTTATGGATATCATTCTCTCCGGTAACAGACGGGATCATTGCCTTCGGTTTCAGTTATCTTCTATCTCCGGCTCCACGTGTCACTTCCTCGTGCGATTATTTAATCGAACATATTTTACCCTATACAATTTCTCTAAAGTTAGAAGCGGTCCAAAAGTCACTTACAAAATTCTTAACTGACCTAATCCATTTTGACTACACGCATATCTTAAATTTAGATAAGAAACTATACTTGTTCTTGTTGCTATTCCTTTTTTCCACTCTTGACATTTAGTATACATTATTAGTAATTCTTCTTTCAAAAGATCTTTATCTTTTTAGTAGTAAGATTTGTTTGGTATAAATACTCCCCAAGATAATATCCTCAAGCAGAGAAAATTAAAGAAAACAAGCATGGCTAGTAGCAAAGCTGGTGTCTTCACTCTCCTCCTTCTGTGTGGTATACATTTTTGCATAATATTGATTTTCTTTTTCATTCAATAAGAAAAATATTTACAACTATTCTTCAGTTTACAATTATTTATGTAACTTACAGGGATTATGCTTCTGTTTATTTGCTTTGAAACAGTTTTCTTACTGGAAAGCAACGTGGAATCTGCAGAAGCTAAGATTTGTGCACAGCATTGTTTGTCAAGTGTAGGTTTCGTGACTTGCCCATCTTCGGGTCATAAGAAGCTTCGTCCAAAATGTATCAACTGTTGCAAAGCACGAAAGGGTTGCAAACTATACCATAGAAATGGGTCTTTAATATGTACCGGAACTTAATCACTTTTGAGAATTAATCTCAAAAAAGGGTATTACTAAACTTCCAAATAAGTTATGGTCATATATATGTAAAATAAATTCTGCGTTTATGTTTAACTCAGATGACCGATATTACATATAATAACAATGGATTTTTCAGTGTTTGTCTGAGCATTCTCTTCCTTTGCTGAATTGTCTCTCACTTTCTTTATATTTGTGCCTATTGAATACCGAAAGTCAATGGTCTTACTTCCAGGACTGGGGTTCTTTATATGGAAGTTGATCAACGAGAAAAAAAAATAGAACAGAACTAGTAGATCGAAGTGTTAGTTGTAATCCTACAACTGAGTATCTTGGAAATTGATACAATTCTAGTGAGAAAGCAATAGTAAGGGGTAAAAATAGAAGTACCTTTTCACTGGTTAAATGAAGCAAGCACAAATTTTGTGCATCCTCTTAAAAATAAAGTTGACAAATATGAAAGCCCAAGTGAGTATAAAGGAATCCGAAAAGAAAATACTAGGGTGATACACAGTTTTATACCACTCTAGCTAGATTATTCTATTATGTCAAGAGAACTCAACAATCTATATATATATATATATATATAAAAATTGAGGAACATTGCTCCGGTGATGTGGCAAGCCTCATTGTGCAGGAAACCCAATTATCTTTTTTGTCAATTATTTGGCTTTTATCCTATTTTTCTGTTAATCTGTTATTTTTACAAATCCAAAAGTCGCTTCTTCAAAAGCCAAAAGTCACGTCCTTTTTCTCTTTCTCATTATGAAACCAATTATGACACCCTTAAAAATCTAAACGAGCGTTATTCAATGAAAGTTGAACTTGCCCGTTTATTTACAAAATTACAAATAATTGTTTCCTTAACCTTTTACTTTTATCTCTTCACTAACGCCTCTTAATATTTGAAAGTTCAAACGTCTTTATTCAATGAAAGTTAAGCTTGCGTGTTTCATACTCTTCTGCTTCATTACGCAAGGTTTGTTTTGGCACTATAGTCAAATATTGTTGAATGTTCGTAGAATATATTAACAAAACTATTATTTTATGCAGGATTGTCGTTGATTTAATATATTCTGATTTTTGATATATTAAGTTTTCCACAGGTGAAAATATCTCCAATTTTTCCTTCTTTGCAGGTACGACACAAAATGGTTTGCGAAAAATTCCATACAAAATTATACCAGAGAGTCTATTTGGGTTACTTGATTAGAATGTTTATTTTCAAATGCATACTGTAATTTAGGGCGATCATCCCAAAACTTGATGAGTTTTTGTAGGCTCTTTATGATGGCGCTTGCATACTTATTTGTACTAATTAATATTTTTGGGAATTTTATTTCTTTAAATCATTTATAGTTGATAAAATCTCTTTTACATTATTTTTTCGCAGCATCATGAAACGTAGCAAAAACTTTCTTTTGTAAACTTCTATCTGATAAGACAAGGGTGGTGGCCAGTTTGAGACTGGAGAAGAGTGCAAAGTAATTATATTAATCTTCTCAACTCTGAGGATTGAAGAAAATGATAAGATGTAAACAAGATACTCCCTCTGTTTCAATTTATGTGAATTCATTTTTTTTTTAGTCTGTGCCAAAAAGAATGACCTATTTCCTTATTTGAAAACAATTTACCTTTATGCAATGATTTATAGCCACACAAAATATATGTACCTCATTTTACACCACAAGTTCAAAAGTCTGTCCTATGCTGTTGGTATGATGTTTTCTTTCTTCATTCATTCGTTTTCTTTCTCTTGGATTATTCTAAATCGCATTATATGTCATTCAACCTTCTTTTTCGTGGAAAACTTGGTTATGGGGCATAAAGCTTTTGTCTATATATTTATCTTTTATAACTTAATTGCTTCTATGATGAGCAAGAAGGATAGCTACATGAGTGAATGCTTCATATAGATTAAAAAAAGAATTTAGTTTCACACTTCCCCAAAAAATCTTTCCTATTGTTCCAAGTCTTAATAATAGCATGGCTATAAGAAGGTGGCCACGTAATTAAGTTTTATCTGTTTTTTATGGAGCATCAGTTTTTCTAATTTGTAAAACAACTACACTGTTTTGGGTGCAGGACAGAATATATGATGCCACAAATAACGCAACAGGAAGTAGGAATATGCTTATGGAAATGGTTAAAGGAAACAACTCCTTAGAGTTTTATCACAACTACTAAAACCTCCATCTAGATTGAAAGCATTTGGTTTTCGGGAAAGTAATCAAAGGAATTGGGTGCTTCGTTTTGTTGAACATGTGATAACTGGTGTTAGTGATTTTTCTTAAAAAACATATATTTTTAACAAACCATTATAAACCCCGATAAAAAGCTGAGTTCCCTTAATGTAACTTTGGTATTAATTTGAGTTCTATATATTTTAATACTCAACTTTCTTAATTATAGAAAAAAAGTTAAAAAGCTCATGTAACTTACAAATATATAGTAGTATCTGCTCTAAGTTCAAATTTATGAATTAACTCAAAGTATGTTGCTTATAAGCATCACATGATCATAGAAAGGAGGGTTTAATAAATTTAAACATGAATCTTTATAACCACGCGAAGCGCGAGTATATTAACTAGTTTATATATAACTCAAAAGAATTCTTTTTTATTTATTTATCTAATTTACACCATATAATTCTTCGGCAAAAGGAAATCTAGTTGAACCTTCAACCTAAACTTAGCTCTAATCCCTGTGAAGACGGCCTGGAGTAGACGTCGTCCGGTCCATATTTGCAAGTTGCAACTATCTAAGGAGTGGCAGGATTGAAGTTTAGCAATAATCATGCTAAGGACTTTAGGCGATTAATCTCTGCCCAAATCTCTGTTGGTATTTTAAGCTTGTGTAGCTTAAAGAGGGTGAATGAGAAATGGAGGGAAAATGAAATATTTGAGTTTTCCTTGGGAAAGGGACATTGTCCCATATCGGAGGAAGAAAAGGCTTTTGATGGGTATATATATAATTGCTCTTCTTCTAGCTCTTAAAAAGTTAAGAAAAAGGCAAGCCTAGTGCCGTCGTCGCTCGGCTCGGCTTCGGCTTCGGCTACGGCTACGGCTTCGGCTTCGGCTTCGGCCGTATATATATAATTGCTCTTCTTCTAGCTCTTAAAGAGTTAAGAAAAAGGCAAGCCTCGCGCCGTCGTCGTCGTCGCTCGGCTACGGCTTCGGATTGATTGATTAATCTTTTTTGACAAAATTTCTTTCAATTATTTAATTAATTAATTAAATAATTAACGAAATATTCAATCCGGAATAACCCATGACCCGCGATCCGGTTCGGTCAGGCCCGTTTTCTTTCAAACACCCATTTTCAACAGTCATGGCTGTTTCTGAAAGGTTGCAAACCTTTTCAGAAACATTGCCATCAACTCTATAAATAGAGTTTGAATCCCAGAATCTTTCCATACGAAATTTTCTGAGCTTCTTCTTCTTCTTCTTCTTCTGCACAATTCCAGTGTGTTTTACGACCATTGAGTGGTTCGCAGTTCATCAGAGTTTTGGTACCTATACACTGGTGAGTTAAATCGTTCTATCCTGGGAGGATATATTCCAGCACCTCGGGTACTTGAGGGGAATAATTTCCTTAAGGACACACTGTGTATTCAGTAGGCTCGATTTATTCCTATACTATTTTCTTGTTTTCCACAATCTATTTCGTTAAACAAGTATTACTAACTTTCTGTTTCATTTTTTCAGAAAGTTAATTGTTTATTATAGCAATACAGAATAATAACAATCTTAAAATTTTTTTTTTTTATATTCTGTATTTTGTTTGCAGAGATTAAAACCTGTGTGGTTTTCTACTCCTTCTGAATTTTACTATTCTGATTTGAAGATATAAAAACTTCATCAGAGTATTCAAATTCGTAAGATGATTTGAAGAACATAAAAACTTCATCGTTTTTCTGTAAAACATTATATAAAAACTTTGGTTTTTATACATACTATTTTTTTTGTTAATAACAGTATTGTGTACTGTTCTGATTTTGCCATTAATTTAACTCTTCTGTTGTTTACAGTGAGAAATGGCAATTGATAACGGAAATTCTTCTGTGACTATTGCGGCAACGACGATAGCCTCGTCAAGCCGGACTGCTGTTCCACCGGCAGAGAAATCGGAAAAAATTTTCGGAGCCAACTTCAAAGGATGGCAGCAAAGGGTGTTCTTCTGGCTTACCATGCTTGGTATGCAGAAATTCACTAGTGAAGAACCTCTAGTACCTGCTGCGGACATGCCGGACAATGAGAAATTCATGATTGTTGAGGCGTGGAAGCAGGCAGATTTTCTTTGCAAAGGCTATATCTTAAGCGCTTTAGAGGATGACTTGTACAATGTGTACAGTGTGATGAATACTTCGAAAGAATTATGGGACGCACTTGAGAAGAAGTACAAGACTGAAGATGCATGCTTGAAGAAGTTCGTGGTTGCCAAGTTTCTAGACTATAAAATGATAGACAGTAAAACTGTTGGAACCCAAGTTCAGGAGCTTCAACTTATTTTTCATGACCTTATTGCTGAAGGTATGGTCGTGAATGAAGCATTTCAAGTGGCTGCAATGATTGAAAAATTGCCTCCTTCGTGGAGAGATTTCAAGAACTATCTTAAACACAAGCGCAAAGAAATGAAGTTGGAAGATCTTGTGATTCGTCTCAAGATTGAGGAAGACAACAAAACAGCCGAGAAGAAGTCTCGTGGAAATTCAACGATCATGGGAGCTAATATCGTTGAGGAGACTGCTCCAAAAAGTAAGAAGAGAAAGAGGTCTTCTGGACAGAGTAAGGAGCAGAACAAAAAGAAATTCAAGGACAGCTGCTACAATTGTGGAAAAACCGGTCACAAAGCCCTTAATTGTCATCTCCCAAAAAAGTATAAGAAGAAGGGACATGCCAACATAGTGGAGAAGAATTATGACATTGATGATCTGTGTGCAATGCTTTCAGAATGCAACCTAGTTGGAAATCCGAAGGAGTGATGGATTGACTCTGGAGCCACTCGACATGTTTGTGTTGTCAAGGAAGTATTTGCGGTTTACTCTACTGTTGGTCCCGAAGAAGAGCTTTCCATGGAAAATACTGCAATAGCCAAGATTGAAGGTTAAGGGAAAATATTCCTGAAGATGACTTCCG